ACTTGAACATTGGTCTACACTCTTGATATTGTTTTCCTCAAGTGTTACATTAATTATTTCTCTTGTAATATGTGAAACAAAATATCCTACCGTTAAATGCAAATGCTTTTCATTCTTATAATAAATTTATTTCAAACAATTTTCATTTCAAAATATGTCTAAAAAATATTTGAAAACGAACAAACATCTATGCTGACATTTAAGGAGATTCAAAAAGGTTTTCATATACGTAAATGTTCAAGAGAAACCACAACAAATCCTGTATCTGCAAATATCGCATTATTTCCAACACCCACACTCAATCGAAACAAAGACTATACTAACAATAGTTTGACGAAAGATTTGAATAGAAGCAAAATAAATTAGACTCCTGCTATGTCAATCATATTGTATTCATTTTCAAATAAAAAGTATTGAAATAATTTTTTTAATGAAAACTAAATCGTATGAACAAGAAGATTCTTATATCTGTTCGACAATTTGTATAAAAGACAAAAAAACAATTCGTTATATATTCATCCTACAATCAATAATTCAGGCGCAAGTTACTTGTAATCGTCTAAAACTCAATCAACGGATTCAATGAAAAAATGTACAATCGTTGAATACTATGACCAACTACTAAATTCATATGTTTATTTTTCACTTGGATTTATTGTTATCGTGTCTCAAGTTGACATCTATACAAAATAGTACTTCACTCTGAGTTTATAATGTAATGTCACAGAGAGTGAAATTTTAGGTAACTAACAGGAATTATCTATTTCATTGATCAATATGACAACATTCATGAGATATTAATTAAGCTGAAGAGATTTTATTAAAAATATCTTTTGCAATTTAAGATTTTCAATACCCAAAACAATTCTGTTGTTTCTTCTATTTCCTCCATACTGATGATTCAAATGATGTCAACACCTAAAGTATTTCACTGGATAATCGCAGCAAATGATTTATTGATAAGTTTCGAAAGAAAAAATTACTATTAAACGGCAAAAGCACGATATTCTTCTTATCTTTATCCATTACTTCAACTTACGTTCAAAAGAAAGTGAAACATGTAAAAACGATAGTGCTTATAAAATCTAGTTCAATCACTCTGTCAATTACGATATTATTACGGCGTGATTATGTATATTTTGATATTGATGTCTTAAATCTAGTCGACTATGGAAAACTACTCAGAGAATCCAGAAAGATTATTCCTTGAACACTATAGCTGTCTATTTAAAATGTATTAAATGAATAGGTTTTCGTCTATAGAGAGATCTCGAAAATTCAAAAAAAAGAAGTCATGTATGCTGCATTATCAGCTCTATAGTTTTGCGAGGAATTCATGGCTCTGAAGCATATACCTCAGCATGCCTTTTTTTATCATACTCATCAGTCTTTCTTAAAATTTTTCAATGTAATTAAATACATGTCATTAACAATTTTTTGTATATATCAAAAAAAAAATTTTGCGATAGCTACAGAACATGCCTAATATCGAAAATATTCTTAATTTCATGCAATTATCATTCATATTAAGATCAGGAGAATTGTCTTATCCTAGAAAAACTATTCTCAGATATTACGAAGCTTTTTCCTCAACAACAACAAAAATAATTAATATAGGAGGATGAAACAAAGTTTCATGAGTAGAACTATTTCAATATATGAAACATATTTCAACTGATAGTGAATTCTCATAGACAAAGATGATCTTTTAGATGTTCATATTGAGATCAATCAATTAGTTTTTGTAATGAAACGAGAAGTTTCGATATGAAGACGAACAATATAAAACACTATTTGTCGATTCATTGATAAATCTTTCACTTGAACGATTATCAACATAAGCTTTCAAAACAATTCCGCGAATTATATTTTTGACACTATGTTTCTGTATTTTTCATACGAAAAATTTCAAAATCCTTTATATATAAAAGAAGACAAAAAATAAAAATTGTTTTTCTATCGTTACTATTCGCATCTTTTTTCTTTTGAAGTTTGAATGGAAAAACAATCACGAACTGAGAATTTGAATTTAAATATATTACTCATTCGTTTTTCCTTCAATTTTAATGTATTTCTTTTCTGTTTATACAAAAAGCAATTATCTTCTCAAACAACGTTTCTTCTTCCTACCATTCAGTAACAAGCACACGACATATGAGTCGTCCTTATACATTACACTGGAACAAGGAGAGAAATGAACGTAACCGTCGATCACATATTGTTTTAAAAATGAATTTAATCAAACAGATATGTGTACAGACGAAGAATATGTCGTGTTCTGATACACTCACAATATGTTTTCTTCAACACCTCAACACTATCATAATTGAAACATGCACAACCTAATGAAAACAGTCTCGTGTGTTGTCAGAATAGTCATGTAGTGATTATGGAATTGATAAAAATAATCTGAAAAGTACATATCCCAATAATAACTATTTCCAATTATGAACCTATCGGTTCATCATCGATGGAGTCTAATCTGAATACTTGAAGGAATATTCATTCCAATGATAAACGTATGCTATCTAAAATTAAAGTGTGCTTATTGAGATTCGTCAACAATTGATGGTTTGAGATTGTAAAAGAAATTCAATTTAATCATCATGCTTCGTATGCATATTGTTTCCGAAAAATTTGTATGATTCTTTCTATTAATATTTATGAAACTCCTACATTTTAAATGTTAACTTGAGTACTATCTCAGTGTAATGTATTACATAAGGAACATTTGCTTTTTTTGGTTCGATCGAAATTTCTTTTATTGTCTGAAGTATTTTAGAAAAAATGATGTGATTTAATACATTATATGTAAGGTGATGTCAAATAAAAATCAGTAATTCTAAAAATTCATTTTTGCAACAAGAACGTTTTTTTTTTTTGTTGGAACTAAATTGTTTTTTTTAATTTTATTGAATTTATCGAGAGATATTTACGGAGAACATAGTGATAGAATGAGTTTTTTAAAAATTTCAGAAGCAAGAACCGAGTATAGACGCAAACAAAATTTTCTGTTTTTTTGAAATAAAATTTTCAAAAAGAATCATTATTGATGTTGATGTAAATATGTATCTGCTATCATGATGAGTATATTTTAAAAAAAGGAAATGGTAATTTAAATCTATATTCAATTCTATAAAAGCTATCCACATATTTGAACTTGTTCCGACTATCTTCACCATAGTCGGAACAAAACAAAGTTATGATGAATTTATTCGTTGTATTAGTTCATTTACTAGTAGAAAATTTTTTTTTTTCGTTTTGTCTTTCGTTCTTTTAGAATGTCATAATTCAAGCAAATTCGTTTTCGAGAAGAGATTTTAAAAACAGAACGCTACAACATGAGAAGAAAGAAAAAAAATTGAAAAAAACTGTCATCAAAACAACAAAAAAATGTGCTTATTGAAGAAAACAACAAAAGCATGCATTCTTTTTTTCTTTCGTTTGTCATCTATTTTTCAAGGATATTTTATATTCTTGACATACGAAATTTTTTTTATCAGAGACGAAAGCAAACCAAACAAAACCTCAAAGAACATAAGGTTTAAGTTTTGACAAATACGTTTCTAGATACTGTATATAAATCGTCATAGAAAATCAATGTCTTTATTTCATTTTAGGTTTATCTGACTGAAACAGATACAAAATGAAAACTTAATTTTTAATCCAGAAGATAACATGACATTATTTGTTTGTTGAAATCAAATAATAGGTTGGAATTTATTTAACGAAAAGAAAATCATTTTATCAATTTCCTGTTGTTTACTTGAAAACAAAATAGTTATATTATTATCATTGTTGAAGAATCTAATTTTTCTGTATAATCTCAATAACTTGATAACAGCAATAGCCAGTGTTGCTTGTGCCTTTCACAACCATTGAACAAAGAGAACTCTATTAGAAGTCTTTTCATCTTATAGTATTAAAGAGAAAACTACTTTGTAATCTATACTCCTTGTAAAAAATTTAAAAACATACATGAGAAACTTGTTTCATTTCAAGTAAATTTCAATGACAAAAATTTATGCGAAGTTGTTCAATTTAATGTTCTACACTAACGATCTATTTTGAAAATCATCCTACAGTACATAGCATGAGATAAAACAATGTCCGATAGAGTTCTCCTCTTTCGAGTAGTGAAATTTCTGGGTTACTATGTGTTTTTGTTGAGGAGTTATTGTATATCTGGCGATGACTTTTGTTTTCGGACACACATTAGTTATTAATTTTAAGCCAAAAACTTAAGCGCCATTGTTGATTAGAGTTACGAAAACTCAAGATTACATTTCACAGTGCAGAATTTGATTTTCATAAATAATATATCCTTATATTTGATGTGCATCAATAAAGACGACAAGCACAAGATGATCTGTTGTACATATCCACAATTGTTGTTTTTTCATAAATGATCTAACTAACGAGTATTATATATATATATATATATTAATAAAACGATTATTTTATTTTTTAATTCAAATTTTAATAGGCATCGTGTTAAAATGAAAGAAAAGACTTTATTATATATGTACTTTTTATTTATAGAAATTTTGCTCTTATATAACTGAAATTGAGAGCTGATTGTGAATGTAGCAAATAATTATTAAATTTATTATGTCTTAAATTAGAAAAGTCTTTCAATCAATCCTATATACTTATTTTCTTATAAGACCTTATTTAATAAGTAAGAGAATTTGTTTTTCTTGTATGGAATCCTATTGAGAAGCATAAAAATCGATCAAAATATGTTAATATTAATCGAAATAGAATGTGAAAAAATGATTTCGTAATTCTAAATAAAAGTAGAGGAAAATTGAACATCTTTTTTTTTCTGGATCAATCTATTAGTTGTAGAGATATACGTGAAAAGATTTTTATATTATCAACATCATCCACTTATTAATCGTTTTCGATAAAAAATATATAGATTTTGTTCTAGTTAAAAAGAAAAGTATTTTTCTTGGAAATGAAAATTTAATTATTTACATAAAATAACTATGATATTTGTTAATTATATTTCGTAGAAAATAGATATTATATGGAACAGATTTTTATTAATCGACGAATAAATATTAAGATGAAATAATAATTTAAAATAATTCTAAATATTTGTCTCAATTAAGAATTATTTTATGAATATATAAAGAAAAATATTTATTCTACGCGAGAATTTCTAATAGTGCATAGTAACCTAGAGGAAACTTTCTTTTTTGTCTGGACTGATAGTAAAATGAAAACTCTATTTTCCTATGAGATATTTATATTAATACTCATTTAAAACAGAAAGACTAATGAGTATCTTTTGAATAACTTTTCATAGAAATAAGGTAGAAAGATGCAGTGTTCACTCTTCCACAAACTAGATGACGACACATGGAATGGTATATTTTTCTCTCAGATTTAAAAAGAGGTGCTGTGAAAAATGATATCTTTTTTTTTTTTTGAGCATCAATGTTAATGTAACCATCAGATATCATAATAAAATGTAAAAAAAAATATATATATTTAAAATTTTCCCTTTTTCTATTCTTTATCTCTATTTCAGGATATGCAGTGCATGAGTTATTACTCAAATTGACGGCGAATGTATTGTTTTTATTCGCCGTTTCGTACAATCATCGTTCGTTTGCTACAATGGTGAGTGCACGACATTCAAGTTATTCTTACACATTCGAGATGAAAACTCAGACGAATTGAACATGAAATGTTTAAAGACGACAAAGATATCGTGCACTCAATATTCCATTGCTTGACAAACACCGGTTGTTATCATGCGCTGCGTATTCTCATTCCAAGACGGCGTCTTTCATCGCGTCTTTCCGTTTCTGCTTCTTCTCGTTCTTCCTAACAGAAGAACAAAAATAATTTTCTAACTAATGGAGCTTTTGAGGGTGGCTCTAAAACAATTGAACCTTCCCAGGTATATCCGACGTTCTGTTGGTGACCCGTGCAGGCGTGCAGATGGTAGGCCTTCATAGCATATATCAATGTATGTATGAATAGAAGCGTCCATTTCGTCATCGTCTTTTCCAAGATGATGATCATGGTTGTACTATTTATACATACATCGATGTATGTTTGCCTAACCATTGCCGGCTTTGTCCACGGTACGAGCCAGCAGAATACGGAGGGTATCTCTGGTCGCGCGTGCGCGAAATTTTGCAACTGCTTGCTTCGGCGAGCTTAGATTTCAAGATGGCCAGTTTATTTTCTTGTTTAGAAAAAAAAACAATTACATTTTCTTTTTTACATCTTCAATGTTTCTTTTCACGAGAGCAATATGTGGATGATTTGCAGGAAGTGAGTTTTTCCAAATTTCTTGAGCTTTTTCGTAATATGAAAGTGCTTTCGAATACTCGCCCATGTTATTATACACCATACCGATGTTGTTGTAGGAAGCAGCCAAGTCGGGATGATTCGGAGGCAGAGCTTTTTTGGTAATCTCAAGATCCTTTTCATAATATGAAAGTGCTTTTGAGTACTCGCCCATGTTATAATACACCAAGCCGATGTTGTTGTAGGAAGAAGCCAAGGAGGGATGATTCGGAGGGAGAGCTATTTTCTTGATTTCAAGTGATCGTTCATACGATGAAAGTGCTTTCGAGTACTCGCCCATGTTATAATACACGGAACCGATGTTGAGGTAGGAAGCAGCCAAGTCGGGATGATTCGGAGGGAGAGCTATTTTACGGATTTCAAGTGATCGTTCATACGATGAAAGTGCTTTCGAGTACTCGCCCATTTTGGCATATACAGTACTGATGTTGAGGTAGGAAGAAGCCAAGTCGGGATGATTCGGAGGGAGAGCTATTTTACAGATTTCAAGTGATCGTTCATACGATGAAAGTGCTTTCGAGTACTCGCCCATGTTATCATACACCAATCCGATGTTGTTGTAGGAAGTAGCCAAGTCGGGATGATTCGGAGGGAGAATTGTCACGTTGATATTAAGTGCTCGCTCAAAAAATGAGACTGATTTCGAGAGCTCTCCTAGGTAATAATACACTTGACCAAGTTTGTCATTGTAAAGGGATCGCTCTTTATCAGAAGGCGCCTTTGCGAGAAGTATCTGATAGAGTTGTTTTGCTTTTGCAGGTTCGCCCACTTTAATAAGTATGAAACCAAGTCGAGACAATCCTCTGTGGTCCCCAAGTTCCTCACGTATATGTGCAGTAAGTGTGTGCAATTCGTGATTGTCATTACCGACAATAGTGAGATTAACTTCGTATAGCCGATCAGAGTGATTGTCGTGAATTCGTTCAATGCGATCGATACGAAAAATCGCATGTGTTGAAAATAGTATTTCTTCCTCCTTATCTTTGTAGTAGCCAACTTTGCTTACTTCAGCAAATGGTGTTGATGATTTTGTACAAATAGCCGTGTCAATGTTCATAATGAAAAGGATGCCAACTGAATTTGTATTTAATGCTGCTGGTCGTGCAAAGTTGTTGAAAGATATCTCAAGATTGCGACTTGTTGACAGGAAATTGTTGAAGGACATAAGTCCTCCTTTGGTTTTTTTCATTTTTTCAAAATCTTCCATGGACAAACCTTGTCCACGAAAGACTTGAAATATTGTTGGCATGTTCCCTTGTTGTTCACGATGTAATTCGGTAATATGTTGATGTAAATGACGGATGAAGAAACCCATCTTCAGAATAATATCGACATCCATTTGTCGAAGGCCACGATTGAGCATTGGATAAATAAATGTCTCTGCCGTATACCACCATATTGGTGTATGATCACGATATTCATTTTCGACCTTCCTAATTTGACCTTCATCAATATCATCTTGCAGACGACAGTATTCGACGAGATCTTTAATCGATTTGACATCGTCATCTTCAATTTCCAAAAGTGCTTCTTTTAATAA